AAAGTAAAGATCATAGAAATTACAATAAATATGTGTATATAGAATGTTATAGAATTCTATAGAAACTAGTTCCTCTATAAAACAATTTTATAGAATGTAATTTCTATAGAAATTGATTAATCTCTATAGAAGGTCTATATAGTTCTATAGATTTTTTCTGTAAGGGTACTTTCTAAGCCTTTGAAACCTCTAAATTGTCATATTTTTGGGAGATTTTCCCTGCTTCCCTATTCTGCTGAAATAACTAAAAAAAAGTTATATTATGAAAGTCCTAGCAGTATAATTAACATTACATAGCCTAAGTCTAGGCCTATACTAAATCATGGTGTATAATAAAACATACAACCTTAAAACACAAGTTTAACAAGCTAATAGGTGTTGTCATTTAATCTGTTCAGCCAACCACAGATAATCTCAAATTACCTAATTTGATTGGTCACTTTATCCATGTTTATCACTGAAGGCCATGGAAATTAACAAGGTGCTTTTGAATGTTATCAGTTAACTGAAATTTGTTAGTGGTTTTAGAGCTCTTTTTCAGTGCACATTCATGATGATGAAACAGGCAGTTTAACCATATTTTCAGCAGTACTAACAGGTACAGTAAGAATTGTTTTTCTATTATTATTCATTTAATGTTGTTTAAATTGGCGCATTAGACTTAGTATAATGCGCCTTTTAAGTCAAAAATTGGATTGGTTTGGATTAGATTGGATCTCCGGCATAGGAGCCTAGCTAGGGGATAACAAGCATGCTATGACCTAGGCCTATTATTAAGAAAAGGAGGATATTCTAAGGAGGGCTAAGCTCAGTCTGCCCTATAATTTAAGTATTGGAGGGTGGTAAATTGGGCCGTGTTCTCACTTATTTATTATTGTAAAATCCATGATATGATTTTTTAAATAATTTTTAGGGGTAGGCCTAGGCCTTTATAGGCTAGGCCTATGCTACTGTTATTATTATCATTATTACCAAAACTCCCTCATATTTACAACAATTTGCATTGATCTGTTAAATGCTTCTATTTATGTGAACAAATTAAGATTTCTTTCGGTAATGTTGCAGAACAGAATAAACATTATTTTTTTTCTCAATTTCCAATTCACGGCAGCGAGTGAGCTAACTGGTCAAAAATAAAATTTTATTTTTATTTTAAATCTTCATCTTTGTCGAACATTGGGTTTGCAAAACAAAATATCAATACATTCATGTCGAAGTAAAATACAACATTTAAAATGTGGATAGAAAATTTTAAGATACATTTTCAATAAACGGCAAAATCTGCTTAATTATTATGATTTAAAATTTTAAAACAATTAGAGCATTATTCATATTCCAACTGACAGTTCTTGTTTATTTTGCCCTGCCCCTCAATTTTTATTTTGACCTAGTGTATGTATTTTTATGATTTTTCATGACTCACTTTTT